AAAAACAAGTAGGCAACTCGACAGATGTGAAGGAAACTCAAATGTGTAGCGCATGCCAGGCAGCGAGAGTGGCAGTGGCTTCCAATTTCAATGTTGTTTTCGCATCGAAGGTCAAATGCACCCCAACTTGGTTAATTTTGCTTTCCATGTGGTGAGGTGCAATGACTCGCTAGACAATTCCAAAGGTACATAGTTGTAAGTGTCCCACACGAAATGTAAAAACAGGACCCCGTAGGAAGTGAAGCTTTTACGGGGTCCTGAAATTATAGGGTGAAGAGGACCAGACCAGCTCAAACGGAGGGCAAAGATTGGAAACGCACCAACCTCGTGATAAAGATCCTTCGACTTGCTACTGACTTTATCTTCAAGAAAATGCTTGGCCACGTGACTCGGGAGTAATATTTTCCAGCACACATCTATTCTGACCGTGTCGTCGCTTCATTTCAAGTTGCTCATCGAGTGCCTTGAAAGTCTTGAAATAAGGGTGAAAAGTAACAGTGAGGATTGGGAAAACTGTGTAATAAGGGACTATAGTATAGCATGCAGCAAAAGTGGCATAGAGGCGAGTAGCGCCGCCCACCACATATGGCTCATGAGTCAAATCACGGGCCGACTATGAATCTCGAGCTCATTACAATCAGGTTTTTAATCCCTCAGGAGGTCACCAATTGGTACGAAACTTGTCTGGTAAAAAAATCGACCTGCCCATCAAACGACCTCGCAATTGAGAAAGAAAAACCATTATAGGGAGCAGGGACAAGTGCTCGCTGCGATTTCTTTGACGACGGGAGTCGGGGTGAAGTGTCGTATTTTCTGATTCTCTGGGAGTGGAGAAGCCTCGGGTAATCAAACGTCCCTTCTCGGTTCGTAAGAATTCTCGCGAGCTCTACAGACTTTACTGCCAGAATTTCACCATTCTAGGTCATCAGCGACGCGGAGGAAGGGGTTCAGCACAGCGATACTATCTCGCCGAACGCCTTTATTCGAGAAAGTATTACTTCCCACCTCAGTTGGAGGCATACCTGATGAGGTGCAAGAAATGTGTCATTCGTCCCTATTTTCCCCACCCAGTTAGTTATACCTCGCTGGAGCATTCGGTGAGTTCGTTCCACTGAACGTGAACAGGCACCAGATAGCAATCCGTTTCTCTTGAGCATTGCTTTCGTTAAGTTCGGCTTTGTCCTTGTTCAGTGTTGTGAGAACGATATCGCCAACAAATCGAAGCTGGCGTAGTTGCCGGTCGTCGACCTCCACTCTCATGTATTCCCATTCCAAGTGACGCTTCGATATTTAGAATCACTTTCTGGAACATCTCGTCTCGGGTGTCGTGGAGCGTACACACTTTTTCGAGTTTTAACGACAGTTGTTGGGGTTTCACCGTGAGTCTCTGCCGTTGATCTCCCTACACTTGAGTGAATTCATAGCTATAATGATTGACATGTCTCTAGTGGTTTACTCGAGAACGCTCCAAAAGAGGTGGAGCACGACCTTGTGGTGAATTTCTTCACTTTTCACCCTCTTCTGTCGATCCAGCCCCTGGGGATTCTAGGTGTGGTTGTCATGAAACCTGTTGCTTCTCAACTGCTGGAGTAGCTTCGTTAAAGGCAAAGGTCAGGCTCGTGTTTCGGCATTATGGTCGATAGTGAAGAAAAAAAACGAAAAAAAACTGTCGACAAGACCGAAATCGAAACCCCTTCCCTTCTAGCAGTGAAGGAGGCTTGCTCGGGGGAGAGGCACGTCCAAACGAGTTTTCTGGATATGCCAGCCGTTCCATCGGTTGATACGGCAATCAACCTAGCTGATCTCACACGTTAGGCCAGCCACGCACCACATCCCATCTGTGCTGCCGGAAATTCTCGCAGCACGGCAGCACACAATGCAAGGCCCTAGCGCCTTTGCCGCGCACTTCCTTTGTCGCGACAGCCTCACACCCCCTCTGCTTGGAGACCCCACTTTCGCACCCTATAAAGGACTTCCTCATGTTCCCTAATCCTGACTCGTGGCTTTAAACCAGTGCGTACGGTGTAGTAGAAAACAAATTATAGACGGACTCGTGTCGCACTCCTGTCATCGGTGGTCAATTCATGGGGAATCTTTGGCAAAACTTCAACCCTTTTACGAAGGAGCGAGAACCTCTATGAACTGTGCATCTGAAACAGCAGGGTGTAGCGGCCACATAGCAGGTTACCCCGTGTGGATTAGCTCCCACGAGAAAGCGCAGGCTCTCCATATCCGACACTGATGGCCTCCCTGAACACGGGTTTTTCTACCGACTGTGCGAGGAATAGCCATCCATTCTACTACCTCATGACTGGCAATGACAAGGGGATGTATGGCAACGCGGTGTCGCCGGCTTCAATCGGTTTGTGGCTCAGTAGAGCTGCTTGAGTCAGAGCGCGAAAAACATAGCTCTTTTCTTTTCTCACTTTGAACTCGAAGAAGGCGACGATGGTGGGCATGATTCGGGTATAAGTTACTACACGGTGTGCCCTATCTACAGCCTACGTGAACATATTTAGAATTTGCTGAAGGAGCTTGTGGCATGAGATCCAAAAAATACGCACGAACTTTTAGGGCAACCTAATAACATATTAGTGGATTAAGGAAGAATTCCTACCTGGAGTTTCCAGATAAAGTCGTATCTAGAGATCAGCTCGGATCGACGGGTTTGCATCAGAATCAAGGCGACTGCAAAAGCCGCGGTTACGGTGAAAAAAATACGAAGATCGTCGACCGCTGACAAGTTACTGAAAGGCCGATTTTCAGTAAATTGACTTCATTTTACCACTTGGATAAATGGTGAATAAACTTGTGATTTTATTCAGTTTCACGACATCAAGGGGCTCAGGTGGTGCTTAGGCAGAGGAAGTCAGCTACCTAGCATCCGGTCAGAGTAAATCACCGGACCAAATTATTCAGGTCAACCTACAATAGCTTCCTGTCTCTTCAGCGTTACCCAGTGAGAGCCATAACTGTCCGATAACTGGTCAGCCTCCACCATTCAATGTACAGGTCGAAATCGTATTTGAATTCTACTACGATTGTTAGTAATAGAACGCGCTTGTGGCGCAGTCTAGGAAGAAATAATAAATTCTGAAGGCTCAAAGATTCTGCTTTCAATACAGTGATTCCACGCGAAAGGAGACAAGAGAAAGGGAGACCGAAACAGAGTTCATAAGTTCAGTGAGCCTGCAAAATTAATTACCAAGACAAGAAAATTTATAAGGTATCGTCAAAATTGAAATAAGCATTGAAATGAAAAGTTTCCAGAGTAGTAGAATATTGTGAGGACGGAGAAGGATGCTAATCTGTTAACGAATCTACGACAGCGATAATGTCGCCCTTTCCAAACGTATGGTTCATAGACCAAATTTTGGATTAAATCCACCCCGAACAACCAACACTCTCACTACTGGTCGACTGAAGAGAAATGAACTTGCTCATGGTACGACAGCACGCTCTGCAAATTGATCGAACGCCACCACTGTATGGGTCAAGTATTCAAAGGCGAATACAATACCATCCATTTTAGGGAAGCCTACCACTGAATCCCTTAATTGCCAATCACTCTACTCTTCTACCTCAAGAGAACCAGACCATTGTCAGGAAAAAATGATGCATGCACAAGCAGCTCAGTGCTCACCTGCTCTATCTGCTCTAACAACAAAACGAGTTGTCAATAACGCTATACAGAAACAAAGACAAAGAAGTCGGCATGATCAGTTCCGTTTCGGGGGCGTCACGATTTCTACTTTCACCGGAAATCACAGTGACATTTAGAAAGCGGCAAAGGGCCATGCAACCATACTTTATTCTCCCGTTTAGGTCTGTCACCAATTATTCGAACCCGGAGGGAGTGGAAGGCTTCGGACAGAGTACGATTCAAGACCTGATCTTGAAATCGTGCGCGTATTAACACATTCACGACGACGCCCCTTTTCCACTTTTCGGTCGCGTGGGACGGACGCGATTTTGTGGGCGCCGCCGCCTCACCACATAACCGCAGATTTGATTTTGTAAGTAAACAAAAACATGAATGCAGGATATATGTGAATCGAAGACTCTTTTTTTCATAAAACTTTACTGATAACGTTTCGGGCATAAGCCCTTCTTCAGATCAACTGAAAAACATTGCACATACAATTCAACACAACAAACATTGTTAAATAGCAAGTGCATCCTACCTATGCCGTCCTACAGTAAAGGAAGGGGGAAGGGGGAGGACGGGATGGTTGAGAACAGGAAGAATGAGGAAGGTATGCTTTTAAGTGGGTTATGGGAAGGGAATGATCTTCTCATAGTCACGGTGACTTCCCTCTCGCACGTAGCACAGCCTCACATTTCAATAAGTCTCATTGCCATCTTCATTTCTCTCCTTGTTGTTGATCGGTGGTGCACATTGCTTTATTTCCAACCAGGTTTGCTCCGCCCGATATCGCGCGCATCCCAGGGTAGGGAGGAACCACGGAATGGCAGCATGATGTACTCCATAACCACCTTACTACTGTGTGTTATACCTCCTTATACCCCTCCTCTCCGGCGCATGGTAGCCCCACATTCTAACATCATCCTAATACACGCTCGAAGTTGCCACACTCCCCACATGAAGTGAATGTCGTTCATCACATGATCTCGACATCATGTAACCTGACTTCCGTGAACGTTCAAGAGGTGACGACTGAAGTAGACGAAATATTGCGGCAAAATGGTTATAAAAGAGGACAACTTCAAAGTTGGAAGCCGTGTCGATCACCATCTGGCACTTCTCTCGTACTACCATATATCACCGATGAGTTCGCAATGGACGTAGACCGCGTTGTAAGGAGATCAGGACTCCCAATAAACTTGATCTTCCGACCACCACCTTCGCTACGACGCATTCTGACATCATCACGTCCATATGAAAATCGGTGCGAACGAACAAACTGCACGATCTGTGGGGAGCAGAAGGTGTGCCAGATGAGGTGTGTTGTGTATAAGGTAGGAGTGCCTCGGTTGCGGAGATTGTTACATTGGAGAAACGGGAAGGCCACTCTACAAGAGAATGGACGAGCACATAAGAGCCCTGCGTAGTCCTCAAAACTACCCAGAGAGTCCATTCTCAAAACACCGCACACTTCGACACGCACAAGAAAGGCCACCGGAACTTCGTGTTGTCATTCTCTTCAGGAATATAGTTGATCCGGTCGAGCGAAAGATAAGGGAAGCATTGGAAATAAAGCAATGTGCACCACCGATCAACAACAAGGAGGAAATGAAGATGGCAATGAGACTTATTGAAATGTGAGGCTGTGCTACGTGCGAGAGGGAAGTCACCGTGACTATGAGAAGATCATTCCCTTCCCATGACCCACTTAAAAGCCCACGTAGCATACCTTCCTCATTCTTCTGTTCTCAACCATCCCGTCCTCCCCCTTCCCCCTTTACTGTAGGACGGCATAGGTAGGATGCACTTGCTATTTAACAATGTTTGTTGTGTTGAATTGTATTGTGCAATGTTTTTCAGTTGATCTGAAGAAGGGCTTAGGCCCGAAACGTTATCAGTAAAGTTTTATGAAAAAAAGAGTCTTCGATTCACATATATCCTGCATCGAAATTATGAAGCTCAGGGAACCTTCAATACTACCAAAAACATGAATGTCACAAAATAATTTCTGCAATGTCCAATGCGTAAAGATTATCTAAACATATAACAGTAGGATTTCGATCAGAACGACAAATAGTGGTTACGAAAAGAGAGCATTTATTCACTTTCCCCGTGAAGGAATTTAAAAGCATTTTACACTCGATTACGAGGTTTGCCCACCTATCTCCATTCCTAGCGCCTGGCAAGCGATTATCAGTTGGCAGCCCATATGGGCTGCCATCGTCCCAGGAGCGCATGTTGTTGGCAGCCCATATGGGCGGCCATCGGCGTGAATGTGTTAAGCAGCTTCACTAGTTATTACACCACGCCCAAAAATATCACTATGCTGACGGTTACTGGTCAAGAGGGAGAGAACAAAGGACTGCGGCGGAGCGTTTATGCGGTGACCTAATTAGGTGTGCTGCTGCAGTCCGCACATCAGCCTTCTTTTGATGCCATCCGGGATTTCGACTGTACCTGCAGTAGGCCTCCAATTGATCCACGACGGTGAAATTGCTGAAGTACTGATTCCTATGAAGCCACACGTGGAACTGTCGATTGGTGAGTTGAGCGGTAGGAAACAGCCACATCAGCGTGATGCCAATAGAGCATAACGCAAGTACCATGCAGACCTAGAACCAGTAGCATTGTTCTAATCGATATCAGTTGATAAGATCAGCAGTACTCTTACAAAGGAGGTCTTTCAGTGTATGGAACGCCCTTTCAGAAACGTTTTCTGCATGTTAAAGGGAGCTCATGCGTGGACTACAAAACCGAGGTCTATTTTCGCTGAGCGCCCCGCGAAGGCCAAAAAAGGTGAGGAAATGGTCCAAGGTTCAATCCCTCATAATGACAAAATTTTTGCATTTAGGTTGGAGCTTCCCAATTTGCTCCAAAAACACCAGTACCAATAATACTGCCATGTTCATTGTAAAGACCATCAGTAACTATCACACTCAGATTTTTACCGTAATCTGGAGAAAAAGAGTTCAAGCGCCAAAAGGGCGCCAAATGACGCCAAAGGGGCTTAAGTTAGAGGTGTCGGAAAAATGTATGTCAAATTCGTATCGGAGACTCGATACGACTTGAAGAAGAGGTTTTAGAGAAAACTTGAGATTTTGACCTAGGTCCGAAAAATTGGCCATTGATAGGTCAGAGCCATAGGTACCTCCAGCCGGTGAACTGGAAACGAATTCCTTGTTATCCTTCTCAAATAATGAGAAGTTTAGTACTAAATGGACAATGGCAGACACCCAAGCTGGTGATGTACAACAGGGCACCATGATGGAATATCGGCAGATTCATCTCTTCATCAAGACGTGGTATATTGGTTCCACGGCTCTTCCAGTCGCAACACTTAATCTCGATAGCTGAAGCGATTCCAAAGACGTGATGGGAGGGGTACATATGTGCTCAAGGACGTGATGGGGATGTTCTCTATGGTTCGAACATCGGTATCCATGAATCAACAGAGCGTTCCACTCGTTTCCGCGCTGCCTTCGTTCTCAAGTTGCCCGCCGACGTGCGTGATGACCTGTAGGGCCATGGTGAGCCCTCTTTTCGTAATTTGGTCAAAATCTCGCTTTGGGAATAGGTAATCAGGATCCTTATAACGGATATGTCTAGTGCTTCTTGGCGTTCTTGGCGTGATTTGGCGCCAGCTTGACGCTGCGAGGTCACTCCGCCTGTTTTTGATAGAAACCCATTCGTAAGGCTATTGATAGTCCTTGTCGTGAGTATAGCATTAATTTTGATGCTGAAGCAACCTAGCGCCAATTTGGAGGTGAAAAACAAAAAGGAAGCCGACGGGAAAAAGGAAACCACATCTTTTCCAGCGCCACCACCGGCAGTACTTCAATTTCAAGCAAACTTCACTAAGTTTCGAGTATCCCTTTCATCAGCACCGTTCAATATTCAGATGAACTTCTCTACAAGTCCGAAAACGAGTTCGGATGCAAAAACCACCCATTCTTGACAGTTTTTTTCGACCTTTTTTGGCTCTCGAAGGCCACTCAGCGATTATGAAACACAGTATATTGTAGACCACGTGAGAGCCCCTATAGAATGCAAAAAAGCTTTTCGAAGAAGGGGTCCACATCCTTGTTAAAAAGTTTTTGAGGTGGTGTGCTCTGTATCTCGGTGGCGTTGATCAGGGAAATTGGTGAAAATCCAGTTTAGGGCGGGGGCGGCACTCCATTATGTTCTCCAATACCCTAAATATGAATGAGAGGGCTCATGACATGTAATCAACTCATTTAGAGTACCCTTCTGATAAGTACCGCTGTAGTGTGTAGTGAATCAATAGTGCTTCCATAATATGGCCTGCAACAGCCTTGAAACGAACCATTTTAATTATTTCGTTTATAAAGGTTTTTCTTTTCTTAATTGGACCAGGGAAATGGAGATCCTCGCCTGGAGAGTTTAAGAGCTTCAAGGTGGACGATCTGGAGCAGAAACTCCGAAGGAATGTGGACAGAATGTGTTCTTATTAAAAAAAAACACTTAAAAGAGCCGTTGATATTTTACCTTATGGAAGCTTTGGAGAGCTCGAAGGACTGTCCTCTAGGACCAAGGATAAGATGGCAAGGAGTGCTCCCCCTACAAACTGGATTTCCACCATTCGATGAGCTTATGATGATGAGATAAGCTTAAGTGAGCCTGCCAAACCTTTACCATGAAAAGTTTGCGGCCAGAAATGTAGTAACAGTGAAAGAACAATTAGTTAGAATAATAATTGAATACCTTGGAGGACGACAGTAAAGCCAAATACACGCAAGAGGACAGCAGCAACAGTAGGCTTGTTTCGAATATCAGCTGAAAAGTAACATTGAAGTGAGGCGCACTGGGAAGGAGTCGCGTACGGCCATCGGAAATAAAACAATTGCACAACGACATAGGTATCAAAGTCTTTAACCTCCGCCTGGCCAGACGAAACTTCGTGACACGAGGAATTGCTAAGAATCGGGCCATGCGTTGTGCATTCAAAAGTGCATTGATCGGTGTCCAAAGCCTGAAAAAGTCAATTCGATCAATGGAAATTACACTAATCCATAACAGTCAGCTTGATTTGGTCGCCGAGGAAATTGTGGGGTAAACCTTAGAGCAACATTTCCAGATCGAATTCGCGGGGTAAAAGCGGTTCGTAATGAAATTGTGGATGCCGGATTGACTGCAAATGAAAAATGAAGCAAGGAACCGTTGATGAAACCTTTAAACAGGGACTCCCGGCGTTTTCCCTTGAAATAAGGGAGAACGGGCCGGACGAGTTGTGCGAACTTGCTTGTCAAGAACCGTTATTACTGAAGACCTGCAACTGATTTCCATTGTTAGGAAACAACATATAGCTTCCAAACATTACAATTTCTGGGACAAGAACGGCGCACATTTGGTCAAGAAGCATGGAGAGTTCCAGCGCATGAGATTGAGCGGTTCGAAAGACCGAGATCAAATAGTCCCCATAGTCCCGAAACGATTGCAAATGTCTGCGTAGCCAAACGCGAGACTAGACGGCCAGCAGCGGGCGGAGCCAAACATTAGGCGATGTCAAAGCCTTGGCACATGTTCACGTCTCTTTAGCGGCTTTCCAGGGCGAGTTTTTTTTTGTTCAGTGACACTTCTTAAGTTCTTAACTAGGGCTAACGCATCATTGGCCCAATATTCGAATGCATGGACCCTGATGAGACTTTTGCTTTAACGACTATCAGTATGTCAAGAGAACGCAACTCGAATGTCTACTGCAGACATTGATATAATACTGCTAGATCCTTCGATCCTCCCAATAGCGCAGAAAAGTGCACAGCCAACTAATAGGTACCAAATGCACATGAATAACGAACCTTCTCCTAATATAAACACCGGTCACCCAAGTGCGCGCCGCGCAAGTTTGCTGCTTGCCAGGTGCGACAGTTATTCGTCCCGGAATCGCCATGAGATGTATTCGTTCCAGCACGCGCTCGGCGCGACAAGTTCAAAGGGTGCGTGACAAGAACCAACACTGGACTCTTTTACTGACATGTGGGGCTCCAGCTACCATGGCAAGCGCGCCGTACCACTTGCTGCATGGTCTCCAGAACAACTATCAGAATGAATCCAAGAAGTTAAAAGGAGAAAAGCTGCAGACAATGAACACCATACTAGTGCTGAACAATGGCCCAATAATCAACTACAGCAAGGTGGACTTCCTTAAACTCTGCAAATGAATCCATAAAAATTTGGAAAATTTTTTCCACTAAATCACATAGAAAAGTTGAATTAATTTTGTTAATTGGATCAATGAGCATACTGGACCACATTAACAAATCCATGGCTAGTGACACGACCACACAACATGATTAGTCACAACACACTGACACTATTCGCAAACTCGAGTGTTTAGCAAGAGTTACGTCGTGCAAGACGCGCTCATATACCTGTATGGCATTCGTATGTACGCAGCCGGCAAAAGTGTTGTATTGCAAAAACAACTGAACGCGACCGGGGGAGCAATTTTTATGATGGGTATTGACTCAGTTTGACAGTCGATCCCCATCTGGCGCCTAAATCCGAAATATCAGATTGATCGAAAGTAGTGCGGGTTTTGAGATGCATCATTCGAGAACTGAAGCCATGTTTTCGTTGGCAAGCCTATTAGAACCTCTTTCCTTCAGCATAAGTGAATTTCAGATGACTTGCTATCTTCGGGTTTTTATAGATTTGAACTGAAGGTGTCAAGACAGTGGTTTTGGCAAGTTTACTTCGATGTGCTGAAACTCTGAGGTAGTGCTCCGTAGACTGTCGAAATAACACTGAAGATGGGGCCAGGGAAGCACTAATAAAAGCGCAGCACAGCACTGGCTTCACTATTTTGGTCCCAGAATCCCATCACGAAGGCGTAGGGGGTAGCACAATGCTGCTGCTCTTGACGACGGCCTTCTGAAGAGTTCCTAGAAGATGATTCCGGACTAACTGTGCTATAGCAAACAGTAGGACTAGAAGTAAGTATATTGAAAAGATTGTGGCTCCTGAAGATAATTGGGAGGTGAAAAGCTGAACAGATGGCTACCGCAAGGGCTGCTCGAAGCGGTAAGAAACCGTCTTCCTGAGGTGTAGTTTCCACCCATTTTACGTGACAAACACTACAATAATAGGTTGGAACGATTGAAACGTCGTTTTCGATCATCAATTATTTTCATTATAAAACAATAATGAAGCACATCAACCTGAACCATCTCCTTCACCTGTGTCACAGGCTCATCACCTTTCGTTACGCAAAGCATGGATGCCTACCGCGTAGAACTCTTTCTGGTTCGACTCGAAGAAGTTGGGCACTCAAATTTTGACGTCGTCGCGGTTATCGAATTGGTTTGCTGCTAAGGAGTGTTGCGCTGACCTGGGTCAGTGATAGTCGGACGGCGCCAGACCTGGGCTATATGGCGCGAGAGGTAGAGCGTCCCAGCCCAACTCCTCGATTTCTTGTTGCAAGATTTTCGCGACATGTGGTCTTGCATTATCGTGCCATAATTTTTCATTGGCCGAATTTACCCTTTGACGAGCTCGGCCCACGTGGTGGAGCTGTTATACGCAGAGTTCAGCTGTAACTGTATAACCCACAATCAGCATTCCGTGGTACACCGTTGCTATACTATATCACCATATAAAAACATGACTTTGTTTCCGTGGATGTCTGGTTTCGAAGTCACCCTCAGCTGTCCATCAGCCGCCAACCACGGTCGTCTTCTCGCGTTGTTATTGGGAAACATCTCTTTGTAAAATGCGGTCAACACGAAGTCAAGAACCTTTTTCCTCTTGAAGTTATGGAGCGAAGTTCCAGTATTGGCAACCAGTACTGCTTGCTCGCGTCGCTCAGAATAGGCCGAACCCATTTTATCCTGAAAGGCCTTAACAGTCGCACGTAGGAACTTTTAAATTTTTCTGTTGACACAACTGAATCTCCATGCAAGTTTTGTGCGGTTTGTCGAGGACTCAATTCGTTGGCTTTCTTTATTTCTCCGTCATCTAGAGCTAGAGGTCAAAATCCACGATCTTCGTCCTCAGGTCCTTTACCTCAGTCTTGGAAGAGCTGAAACCATAGCTGAAAGTGCATCAGAGACTAAGTGTTACTGCTCAATGTTTTGCACACAATGAGTGGGATTCGTTGGCCGTTTTTCCTTGCTTGAATATATACGCTCAGACGATGATTTCTGATCAGTCATCTTCGAGCAAAAGTTTTGGCTCGAAGAACATCCGCTCAGTGGCGCCTAAGATTTCGCAATATGCTGAATCGCTCTTCGAATGAATGGTCTCCCATCTAAAAGATTGCGTTTACCTGAGAAACAAAGGCACAGACGGAAGCGACATCAGTCGTTCCAACCTAACATTTAGAAAGCATTTCACCTACAATGGGGAATGGACTCTTTGCGAATTGACGGAGCCATTTCTCCTATAGTTAGACCACGAAAAATCTTCAAGAACTTCTCCTAAGCCGAAGTAGAAGAATTGAATAAAAGGTGAGGTGAACAATCTACTGAACGACGCGCCACACCTCTTGGAAACCAGGTGAATTCACCACAACACCAATGTCTCTCCAGCATACCGATGAGATGCTCTAGAAACACCAACTTCGTCAACCGAGAGAAATGAAACAACCCTCCTTCATGGTGGCGCTCAGCCACACGTCCCATAAACGACCTCGCAAGGATTGACAAACTGGTGTGCGAAATGGACCTATCCTACACTAATACCACGCTTTCCAACCATCTCAAGAGATTCTTGAGTAAGAAATGCTTCAGTGGGTGAAAATGTAGTTCGGGAGGGCCACTCATAATATCTAATCGAACTGACAATATCTAATCGAAGTGGAGCTGCGGAAGGGCGGTCATATCTAATCACCATCCAGACACAGTCTCTGAATGTATGATTAGATAGGGATACCAACTCGAGATTCCATACAAAATCGGATACCTGAAAGGTCCTTCTTCGAGGGCTCGCATGGCAGTCGCAAGAAGGTTTGGGAAGGGAAAGTGAAGAGCCAGCAAGGTAGCAGCCATTTTAGCCATAGAATAATATGACAAGGGTAAGCGTAGTCGTAGGCCACGGTCTCAGTGAAAGATATGATAAGATATAAGTGCCTTCCCGCAGCTCTACTTTGATTAGATATGAGTGTCTTTCCGCAACTCCACCTCGATTAGATAGGGTGGCCCCCCAAACTACATTTTCACTCTTCAGTGTTTAAAGTGATGTGGAAACGATATTCAATGATTTCATAGCTTCCAGAAGCGCTCATTCTCATATGGTAGGGGTAGCTAACAATAGGAGTCATGTTGTTAGGAAGAATAAGTAGTTCCCAATAGTTCCTGTCACACGACGACTGACTGTTGACTTCCAGAGGAAATATGCCTCTTCGAAAACAGTTCAAAAACCCGCATCTATATTTGAACAACCTAATAAAGCGGGCTCGACATCGCGAAGTGGACACCCGATGCACTTTTTCTTAATTCGTGTTACTCCTAATTACGAAATTCGATTCCAGAAGCATACGTTCACAGAGGCACTGTATTTTTCGGAATTATCTACCGAAATTTGTAAAATGGTGAAAGATCGACCGACACTGATGATGACAGAGTGGGCAAGAAGCAGAAGAGCGCCAATGAACACGATTCGGACTGCTCGTGAACAGTTCAACTTCTTAGCACCTCTCTTGGCGTTTCGCAGCTGAAAAGCAAGTGCTTTGAAGATGGAAGGAATGCCCTCCTTCAATATTCAGTCAAAGCAATTGATATCTTTGCTAACAAAACTCACCAAAATCGCCTTGGTAGCAATGTATATGAGTAGGAAGACCAGCGCTATAAATGCAACACTCATGCAGACAAACATTGCGGAGCTGCTGAAATTGCTCTACTTGGTAATTGACCAATCGACTAGTCGATAGTTACCGTACCCTAGTTTTCCAATGATCAGAATCCAACAGGCAAGAATGAATATGAAGAAATAGCAGCAAATTTGTGCAAGTAGAGCGGATTCCTTGATTTCCAGAAACTGAAAAGCATTTGCTTGTCAACTTTACCGAAAAAGATATTTCTACTGTATTTTTTGGAAACTATAGAATCAAGAGAAAAAGAATGTTTTTCTTCCCTATTCTCGTGAGCCTATTATTGCCCACTGCGAATCATCATTTGTAATAAATTGCAAACAAACTGTTAATCACGAAAAGCGCTTTACGCTATGTAATAGGAAACGAGTGTTCACCATAGTCATATACTTAGCACCCATGGCTGTCACGAAACTGTGAACAATGCTTCCCCATATGAAACTTCAACAAGCAAACTTTGGAATCAGGCTAAAAGAGGTGCTTTTATTCTTCACTCTTCTTGGCTATTTAACTCCCTCTAATGAACTTCAATAAATTTTATTGTGAGGAAGAAGTTCACAGTGAGTATCAATATATTAGAGCAACGAGTTGGGATTGGGTCCTGTTCTAGAGTGAGAAAGAGGGTCCCTAAAGACAGGAGGCACGACACTGTCGCGACTCAAAAGTGCGAGGCAACGGCGCTAAGGCCTGCTTGTGTGCTGCCGTGCTGCCAGCGTTATCAACCACGGCATACGTGGTCTCTGCGTCCTCTCGCGTACGACGTACTATCTCGCGTTCTCCCTCTCCTCGCAGCGCTGTGTCTCTCCGTCATACCACGGCCGGCCTCATAAGGGAAATTTAGTGTTTATGGTGCTTTTTGCTTTTTCTTTCTCACTATGTTCCTCATGCACTCCTTGCCTAAGTTTCGAACAAAGTAACGCAGCAAATCAATCCCAATTAGTGCCTTTGAGGCATCAAATGATTTATCAGACGTAACGCTAAATTGCTCACCGTTACTCAACAGCGAAAGGCAAAATGGTTAAATAGCGCAGAAAATTCAAAGGTAGACTTGTCGAAATCCGTAGTATAAACCCTTGCTTATCCTCCATAGATTTCTGCGTTCGCAACAGCGCTAACTTCGGTTATCAACATAAGCACCTACTCCCTCAGAATGGCTGGATTCCGACAGTCAAGGACTGGCATCATCTGAGGCAGGTAGAGGCAGGAAAGAGCAGAGGGAGCCTTATAACTTCTCTACGGCCTACGCTTTGCCGTGAAAGTGCAACGAGTCATTTCATAGGGGCCCAGTTTACTGACCTCTACAATGGAATTGAATTTTAATTTCAAGGTGGTTTTCTTGGTTTTCACAATGACACCAATGTAGCTGCTGATGATAAAAAAAGCGTTCATCTACACTGATTCCCTCAGAAAAGCAGGATACCTGCATAAACTTTACCAAGTTCATCAGAAAAATTAGGAATATGGTAGAGTGCTACTAGTTAACGGTCATTGCAAGGCATTCATGATTTACCAAAGAGTTATTATCAGTAAAAATGAATTTCTTAGCTATAACTTCGCCTTTACAGATACCCTCAAACAAATTACAAAGTTTGTTGATATGCTGGTTGCTGAACCTATTTCCTTAATCTATTTTATTTTGCTGTTACAGTCTGTCTAATTGAATAAGCATGTTTACCAGAGCATACTATACCAGTTTTTGCTTCGCTCGCTAACGCGCGCATCACACGGCAGCGAAACTGGACTACTCATGGGATATCAACATGAGGCGCTTCATTAACCACCTCACTATTGAATGTGTTAGACCTTTCCCAGTTTCGCTGAAGTCCATCGAGAATACGCGTGATAACGTCTGGAGCTGAACTGGTATATTATCTCACAACTGTAAACATCCAGCATTCTTCTTGAATTCAGATAATTTAGCGGTGAATAGGATTGCTGTCAGTCTCAAAATGAAATGAAATATGCCTATTTACATAAGTGAGGAGCTAAGGCTTATCATTTATTTACATTCACCATTATTTAGAACCCCGAAAGGATTAGCGGTTAGAATGAGTTTGGGCTTTCTTGAATTGCATTAGCAATGAAACTTATCATTTACTGAGACTTGTTTGAGTTTATGCAATCGACTTCTATTAAGTAAGCTGGTCATATCGATACAATGTGCACGTACCACTACAAATAGAATTTGTAAGTAGGGACGCTCTAGTGTCAACGCAAGCTGCGTAACGGAATTGACGACTTTTGCGTTCTGACGCCCTTATCAGCCCTTATCAGTTGTTGCAACACTTTCAATCACCCACCAACAATGTCCCCGTCCCACCCCACATAACACCTGTGAGCATGGTTGCTCTGGTGTCAATGCGAGCCAGGTAACGGAATCGACGACTTTTGCGTTCTGACGCCCCTTATCAGCCCTTATCAGTTGCAATCACTTTCAATCACCCACCAACAATGTCCCCGTCCCACCCACATAACACTTGTAAGTATGGTTGCTCTGGTGTCAACGCGAGCCAGGCAACGGAATCGACGACTTCAGCGTTCTGGCGCGCCTTATCGGCCCTTATCAATCGTTATCAGTTTCTGGCACCCACCAACAATGTCCCCGTCCCACCCCACATAACACTTGTAAGTATGGTTGCTCTGGTGTCAACGCGAGCCAGGCAACGGAATCGACGACTTTTGCGTTCTGACGCCCTTATCAGCCCTTATCAGTTGCAATCACTTTCAATCACCCCAACAATGTTCCCGTCCCACCCCACATGACACTTGCGAGTATGGACGCTCTAGTGTCAACGCAGCTGCGTAACGGAATTGACGACTTTTGCGTTCTGACGCGCCTTATCAGCCCTTATCAATCGTTCAGTTTCTGGCACCCACCAACAATGTCCCCGTCCCACCCCACATAACACTTGTAAGTATGGTTGCTCTGGTGTCAACGGCGAGCCAGGCAACGGAATCGACGAACTTTTAATGCGGGTGGGGTTGCGTGAGGGGGCGCGGCGCGTGTATCAGGGGCGGCTCGCTTTATCGATGGGGCGTTGTCGGTGTGCGTGGCGAGGGGAGCGGGGCACCAACCAATGTCCCCGTCCCACCCCACATAACACTTGTAATATGGTTGCTCTGGTGTCAACGCGAGCCAGGCAACGGAATCGACGACTTCAGCGTTCTGGCGCATCTTATCAGCCCTTATCAGTTGCTATCGCTTCCAATCATGTACCACCAATGTCCGGGACCGCCCCACATAACACTTGTAAGTATAGACGCTCTTTTACCAATATGAACGGCAAAACGAAATTGGCGATGCTCGCTTTCTAGCCCCTCTTATCAGCTATTATCAGTCGTTATCAGTTTCCTATCACGTACCACTTGTGTCCCCATCCCACCCCCTATAACATATGTAAGAACCACTGCGCTATCGTTACTGTGACTCGAGCTATGAATTTCCGGTCAAACACACACACACACACACACACACCACACAGACACACGCTAGCCGCTTATATATAGTAGGAATTCAT